TATATATATTGATAACTGTTCACAATAAACACTTCAATGTAAGGTAAAGCGGAGACCTTCATGTGAACCTTCGACTGTTTTCTATATCTTAGTCACATGACAAACATCAACATGAATTCGGGTTTTACATTATAGTATTCCATACTCATATACAGCACGCTAACAGTTAACAACGGTGTGGCTATGTTCACTTGCACATAATCGAACGCTGCATCGTCTCTGCGCGAAAATCCATACAAACGAACCCTTCATAAAAGTACCAATACGGGAAAATGCTTAAATTATTATATTTGTTTATGAGGCCATATTTTAGTACGCTCATAGGCAATATCTTCTCTCTGATGGCCGGTAAAAGCCCACCTCCTTTCACTATAAGAAAAAACAAAAGACAATACCTGGATGCAGACCCAGGCTTCAACCGGTTATTTGCTATATTAACAACTCTCTCTAATGTCATATATTGACTTATTGGTGCTACTGAGCCAGTATACTTGACCCTAAGCTAAAGATTGGAAAGCAAAGTTATTACAAGTGCGCTTTTTGAACCTATTTAAAGGCCATTTTTTCTTAACTTGGTTTCATCATGGAAGGCCTGACTTGAGTCTTGCCGTCAAACAATGCCGATGGACATCTTGACGGCTAAAAGTGTTTCAAACATGTGCAAGACATATGTTTACGCGCCGTTTCATTTACTCAGTATCTGACTTTTTCTCGTTGATTGTATAGCGTCATTAAAAGGCGCAAATCACGGATGAGTACGTGTGATAGCATTCTCACGCAAGCCTTAGGACTGTGCCGAAAAACACAAGACCGTTTTACCAAGGGCATCACGTCAAACTGCGATAGATCTAAGCAAATTAAAATGATTTCGTGATTAAGCTGTCAGGTTGTTAGGTACGAATTGACGCACCAGAATTCGTAACTTTAGACATTGTAAACGCTATCTTTGAAAAAAAGCATGTTACAAACGAGGCGCAATGGCGCGCTCTCTGAAGCTTCGATACCTTACCTACAAGGACTAAAATGAAGTGAGTCTAGGTGCCTAACTCAAGCAACGATTCCTTTCGACGTATAACCGAATGTGTATACACAGAACATATGCGATTATTTATATCTATACAACGTTAAAAATCCATTATATTTATACAAACGATGTGAAATAAGTATAATGAGGACATCAAAACTTTCAAAAAGAAACTTCTAGGGAAGTGGGCAGATATCTTAGATAAGCACATGAAATGATTATCCTTGCCTAGGATACCTAAAGAGATGAGAGAAAATAACCTACTCAATTAAGTAAACACCTGAGCATTTGTAAATTGATTGTCTTGTTAATGCAATGGCATGATTCGTTTTAGGCATACAAAAACGTGTTTATCACGCTGAGATCTTTCCTCACAAAAAGGACAGAACCGGTATTGTATATAAGACATTTTACGTTGACATACATACGTCTAATACCAAGTCACGGATGAATCGAAACGAGCTACGTGATAGATTTCGTGAACGGTCTTCTTGTATTTATCCCAATATCTCTAACTCTAGTTATGCCGTTGTCGTCTATCCAGCAAATTTCATTGTAAAAAGTTTCAAAGCACTGCACAAGATATTCCAGTGCCATGGCATTTTTGTCGAAAGTCCTATGAGAGCCAAAAGCGCGCTCGTATAATTTGCTACCGGATTTTCTAAATTATCTATAAAACTACAATATCATTAGTTTTAGTCGATCGCTTACATTGAAAATAATAGCACAGCCATTTCCCTTAAAACGCGCATTTGCGTACATGAAGCATCACCGTAACGTAATTACGCCAAATATCTTGGCATCAGGACTCGAGACCGCGTGGGACACCCTTTCCAAAGAGTGAATCAACTGACAATAATCAGTGGCACCTTTTGTTCCAAGGAGATTTGTGTAGGGAACAAACATATTCGTCCTCTAAAGGTTCTCCTTCATACAAACGACTATTTTCAATTGTCAAATATCTTTCTGAAAGCCTACTAAGATAGTATTCTTAATGTCATTTTAATCTATGATCTAACTGTACTCTCTGTACGATCTGACTTTGAACTTCACTTATTTTCCTATATGAAAATTAATGCTAAACCTTATCTTGGGGAAGAAAATGAACCTACCTGCCTTCTAGTATATAAAACAGATTAGTGAGGGAAGTCTATCAACAGAAAGCCATACGTTGATTCAGCAAATTATATTTCTCATTAAGTGGGGCAAGTCTTGACACTTGCAACTGACTATAAACTCGTTTGGATCATAAACAAATTGTTTAGTCCGTTTTGTACAACCCAGAAAAACGTTATCACAAATCTAAGTTAAATATTGGAATATTCTTGTGTTCCTGTGTTCCACCAAAGATTGGTTTAAATGCAGAATGACAAAGCCGACTAACACTCAGTCTGTACGTATCTACGCGTTTCGATTCGGTAAGTAATATCGGTGAAGTAATTTCTACTACATACGTTTTGAGACGCGAATGTCACCCAACAAATAGCTAGCCACAGGAAATCATAGAAGATCCTGCATGCTGTGTGGACTATCGCAGTTAATGGACAACCCCTTTATTTCATCGTTCTGGACAAAAAGGCCAAAATGATGATTCCTAGTAACGCTAAGTCGACGGCTAACGAAACGGAGCTATGGCTGTGATTCAGCTGGCTGACGAACGACGGTTGAAGAGTACCTTGCATTTCTTAGCAGCCTATATGACTCATCAATACAGACACAGTACACTCATTCAAAACACATCCGTGCTTTGTTATATCAAACGAAAGCTAATTCATATTTATCTATCCTTAGTAAATATACCATTAATTTTCCACGCATAAAAGCAAAACAAAAAATAGGATTGATACGAAACAGTATAGTGTACATGTAGTTCTTTGGTATCCTGCTTAGGTAGTGCTGCCAATGTCATTTTTTGATAGAATAACATCATCAGTCGCCAATGGCGTCGGTGGAGCTGAGGAGGACAGAAGTGTGAAAAACAAAATGGTGTCAATCGTTCCGACTGTAATAACATCCTTAACGTCTGCTAGAATTCAGTTTGCCTTCTTCCTGCATTACTAGTACTAGTTTTCCAGCAAACCAATAACTAGTTACCTATTTGAAATCGGGAGACGAAATAACGTTTGTTATGCTTTTGACAAGATATATCAATGTTTTTATGCTTACCAACGTTTTTCACTCATCATTTACGACCCGATGAATATGATGTATCTAAAACGGCAAAAATGATAGAAGATTACTCGTAAAAATTATCGAATAATATACCTTTTTTTTTGTTGTATGTTACCGAGGAATAGAATTAACCACGGGTTCCATTGGCCGAGTCTGTTAGAGGTAAAGGTCCCGATGTGTACAGAATAGATTAATTTGCAACGCTAATTCCGTTAAATCTAAAATAGTTGCTGTCCATTATATCGGTGACAAGTTCGCATTTGTTGCCTGCAGTTCGACTACTACTGCATGCCTATAGTAATTACTCGTAAATGAACCCAGGAACAAACTGGATCGTATGATAAACGTAAATGAAGCATACTGCTTTGGAACTAGCATTGATGGAACAGGACCCGTGCGTTTCATGTGCTCCCAAACAGGGCAACTAGAGAAGATGAAACCTGAACGCACCTTTCTCAGTATCTATATGCTGGCAATTTCCCTCTGTTCATATAAAAGTCAATCTCGATCTTCTGTGAAGGCAATTGCCGATTTAAACTGGGTGCATAGAGTCACCTTTTTTACTCCAACCACATGCCGGTAGCGTCCACAGCCGCATAGCCATAACGACGCGTAGATCTAATGAGTTACACAGAACGTCTGCAGCGAGAGCTTTTCAGCTTTCATTTGAAGACCAGATGCTTGTCCTATAGCTGATATCGAGACATCAAAGGGTACCTATCTCCAAGGAACATAATAGTTTATTCACTACTTACAGAAATTTAGCACGCAAGCCTTACATCAACAAGCACCTATAGCATAGAAGCATCGAAGACATGGACCCATCATGGGAACACCAATGGATGCATCCATTGAAATAGTCTGAAAGAACGATCGTACAATCAGTGAAAAGTTCAAACTTCTAATGTGCTCCGTTCTTGAGCAGCTGAAGTGCAATTTAAAGCTTCTTTAAAGACGTAAGATGCCAAGTCTATGAGGAAACGATGTGACCCGAGACAGCTAATAAGCAAGTACATATAAACCAACTCCATGTTAAGTCATGGGAAAACTAGAAACAAAGCGTACTCGCTACGCAAAACAACATAGACATATGATTGACGAGAATTATAGATCGTTTCGAAAATAAGAGCCGATTTAGATTTGCAAACTGAATATGGTATGAGTATATTTTAGTACCGTTTACGTAAGGGCCTGTTTAGTCCCTAAAAGGAGCTAGTGCTAATGAGAATAAATACATGGTGGAAATCTAACCTATCACAGTCAATTATTGTACGTTGGCCTTCCGACAATCATCGGAATAGCTCCTTCACAATTTCGTTTTAGAAGGTCCAGACGCTGCATTTATTAATCGATAGTTTCTTTTCATATACTATTCCATGTCTGCGAGTTGCTCTGATTTGCCATAAATATTTTAGCATCACTGCTGTAGCAATGCCGACCCAATTTTTACGATTGCTACAAGCGGTATGGTACCACATCCAACATCTGAACGTGCATGTATGTGTGTGTTAACATACAAAATAGTTGACTTTGTTAGTATAGTTTAGGTAATGTCAGTTGTAAGTTCTTTTATTTCATAACATCGCAGACATTGATGCTCTTCTTTTCGTTTGTTCATCGGCAGCTTCTCTTCATTTCCAAATGGCATCGTCAAAGCTAAATGTCACATCTTACACAAGGTGTGTTCAAGCAATATGTGTGAATTGATTTGTATCTCGAAACAATGGAAATTGAGACAGGTGGGCATTTTTTTTAATATTGAAGTTCTTAAGCGATTTATTCGCACGCAGATACATAGGCAGAGACACATCTGCGCATGGCACAAGGCAGCCCTACAACCTTCTTCGAGTTAGCAAAAGATAATATGTTTAGATCCTTTTTTTTTGAATCGCAGTATCTTGTTAGTATGCTACTGTCAACGAAGTTCGCCCCGCAGATAAAGCCGGCTTCAAGGTGAGCTTAATTTTCTGTCACTTTTCGCATGGGAAGATCTGGGAGTTCTTTGCTCTTCACGAGTGTGTGTGTCGGTTGGTAGTATATTGCTGAACGGCTGTGGTCGTACACGGTACGACCCGGACCGCACTAAAAGGACATGAAATATATGTATATATATAGATTAGTATTTTATGTGTGTCGCATCATGTGTCATTAATGAACCGTTTGTTAGCTAGGTTTCTAGAACAAACGTTAGGCTTTTCGCCAGGTTTTAGTGACAATCATTTATAACATCGGTTCACAGCTGTTGACGCAGGGACTTGAAATAATTTTTTTTGAGTTTCAGTCACTCGACAGGTCTATTGTGACATTAAATATCATGCTAACATACAATCTCGGTGCAAAGTAAAACTTTTTTTTCTTTTCATTTTCGAATAAATTTTTGTAATGAATTATCGTAATAGGTCAGATAGATGTTCGGAAAAAACTGAAAGTTAATGTTTTGAAAAGACATTTTTCCAGTCAAGTAGATACATGGTCTCACTCAAAGCAGAACCGTTAACAAATTGGAACGTATAAAAGTAACCTACCATTAAATTAGGTAAACTTGATTTATTTGTTAGCGGTTGTATATTGTTTACCACATCTTCGTCGCCACATCTCTATGCAGAGTTCTCCTTACGTAATTGTTCTCAATGAAAAACATTAGAAACAGCTACTTACTGCTTTATCTAGACTTCATCATACATCTCGAATTTGAGGACTCCGAAGAAGAGGTTTACGTCTCTTCTTATAATGCTTGCAATAGTGCTACGTAACGCATAGTATATTGCTCTTTTAATATGGTATATTATAAACGAAGTATCCACGGCGCGATGGCTTATTGGACTAGACTCGATTTTTTAGAAATCGAAGCAAATGCTGAAGGTTGAGATATGCCGGATTATAGGCTCTTTCTCGATAATAATAATAGCAATAATCATTATTCATACCATTTAGATGCGTATCAGTGTTTTGCATTTGATAGATAAAAAGTAAGTAAACTATCCCCGCTCTTAGGAAAAAAAAACCGGTTTCAATATTTTGCGAACTAAAGTTGTTGTTCCGCCCAGAATATAGAAAAGCCTGTAGCAAAAGTAAAAAGTCTGACAAATGTAGCAAAGGTCATCATAAAACGCACGATATACGGGTGAGGAAGAATCAGAAGACAAAGTAACCTAGTAGGTAATGCATATGTTCATTAAGAAGCCTTTAAAAGATATAAACTAATAAATTAATATTTCCCAATAATGGTATTGGAATCCTTCGCACTTTTCTAGCCAGAAAAAGCAGAAGTCGAGTTTATTGTCGTGGGTGTTTTGTATTTGGGCTTCAGGATTGGGGAAGACAACTGCACACGCTCTAGCGGCCTGTGGAGGAAAGGTGATCTTAGCCTGCCGAAACCTAAAAAAGGCCGAGGCAGCACGGAAGGACATTATGGCAGCGACAGGTAACCAAAAAGTGGTTTGCAAGCCACTTGACCTAGCCTCATTTCGAAGCGTCCGAGAGTTTGCCAAGGATATCACTTCTACAGAACAACGTCTTGATATTCTCATCAATAACGCTGGACTACTTAGTGAGTTCTATATATATATATATACTTTTCCACTATCTTGTGCAGATGAAGTACTACGCACTTCTATAAAACTAAAGATAGCATCTAATTAATAGTTAATGCTTACACCAGCTTATTATGGAAGACACTCATGGACGGTTTGGTACGTTATACCAACACTGCTAACTTGGTTTTATTGAAACTTGAAAATTTTACAATCAACAGGTATGTATTTACTGATGACTTATTATATATATTGTGAACATGTTAAGAAGAACTACACCGTTGAAAAAAAGTACTGTTCTGTATGTATTGAAATAGGAAAGCAGATTCCATCGGTCGAAGTTATAAGGCTAGGTTGCAAAAAAGCCTGCATTTATAAACTTCTATTAAGCATGCTAATATGTTGATAAACACAATGGGCCTTTATAGTAACTATAACAGGAGTGTATTTCATAGACCATACTGAAACGTATCGACTGCGACAATCAGAATAGAAGCGCCTCGGAAACCGTCACGTAACTGCCTTCATGCTATCTAACTTGATGATAGCGTTAAACACCACTTACCTGAATTCAGGTCATATGGAAAAAGCTCAACCACAACGAGATTTGACGATGCTGGTAATGGCCAACCTAGGATTTTTAAAATTAGTTCTAGGCTTGCGCGCCTCGACTCGTAACCACATATTGAGGAAGATTTACATATCCATCGAAACGTTTCAAAGAGTGTTCTGCGTAAAAACACTAAAGGAAATGGCGCGTTTTTAGCGTGTGAAAAACAAAAGATGATGGACATTGATACGCCTGTTTCTGACACCCGCATATTCCATTATGTCATGTTCAGCGGTATCACGAGCCATAACTGCGTCTGTACATTTTGTAATATTCATGCGGCCAGCGTGTCTAATCGGACCAAATCGTTGAACCAATTGATAAAATTCGTTAAGAATCTGTTATCCTTTTGAAAGTTTAAGACTAGATGTATATTATCTTAACGCTGCATATCAGTGTCGTCTCTATATATACATATATAATTCCTTTGAGAAGGTAGCGGTTGAATGATAGGCTTTTCGTATTGATTATCGTTGTGATTAAAATAGAAATGTTAGTGAAATCTTAACCGATTGCTTAACACGTTCCCCCATAAGAAGAACTGTATCCTTTGTTTTTGCCCCTTAAACAGCCCCGTCGCGACACGAGACGACGGAAGACGGCTACGAAGTATCAATTCAGTCCAATCATTTGGGTCACTTTCTTCTTACGAACTTATTGCTCGGTACGTACGTGCTTTACTTTATCCTTGAATCTCAATTAACACTGCTAGTATTTCGTTAGCTCGTTTGTAGTTGCTTCTCTGATAATCGTATACAACAATAATTTAAATGCTATCCTCCTATAAAGAACATTTACAGATACTTTCTGTTATATTCTTTTTCGTAGAAGATAACATTATAGATGCTTTATAACGCTACCGAAATACGTAGGCCGTCTTTATAAACCTTATAATCAACGCAAGAAATTCCTTGTTTGAGAATTTTTCGTAAGATGCGAAACCATTTAGATCTGAAGCCATTTTGATTGTCCTATAAACAATGCCGCTTCCGATGACAGGTCGAGAAAACTCAGGAGATTTGTAGACGTATTCCTACAGAATACATTGAAAAGTACACTTCATCTGGGTTTGCCCCATGTTAATAGTGTACGTAATTTGAACGTAACGTTCTTACGTAATAGTTCAAATTGCATGATATCTCTGTTTCAGACCTGCTAAAGAAAAGCGCACCCAGTCGCGTTGTCGTTGTTGGTTCTTGTGGTCACTGGTTTGGCAACATGAACCCCGATCGACCGCTTGACTTCAAGCGTTACCATTTCCCAATATTCAATTACTGCTCTACGAAAGTTCTCAACATGCTCTTTACAGTTGAGCTCGCTAGGCGACTTGAGGTAAATATAACATTGTAGGAAATAGGAATATAAATCTGAATCTATTTTTATGTTATTGCCGTATAGATATTTTTAAGTGGCAGAGCAAAAGGTTGTGCTTACACACTAAGTAGCGAATTCTGGGCAGGTACAAAGCAAAAATCTACTCGAGTTCAAGATAAATTTGTTTCGATGATAAGTAGGCATACATTACTTTATTTGGTAGGTACTGCGCTTCTTTTGAAAATAATCTTATACGTTTATTTTTATGTTTTTTCCTGAGCAGTTCACAGAGTCGTACAACAAACTTATTGTGAACAAAACAATGAATTGTCATAAAAGTATCTAACTAAATGATTAGATACATATGAGTATATCTATTAAAAACAAATAAGGCGCTAAGCATCAGTTAAATATTTGTGAAATATCAGGGGTCGGGCGTAATTGTTAACTGCGGTCATCCCGGCTTTGTCAGCTCCAATTTCGGACTTAACAACGCCAGCATTCAAGCCTGGTTTTTCACCAAAATGCTGAAAATATACGGGAAGGTAAATGTTATCTATTCCATTTACTGACTCATTTGTACGCGTCACGCGTCTTTCAGTACGTTATAACTCAGTGTACAAATTTGCGACCTTTACCCAAATGTATTGGTTTGGACGAAAAATAAGGCTAGAGAATCTGAATCAAATTACTCCCTGTTCAATTCACTTGTACACATATACCTAACTGTGATTTATTTTACGAATAGTCACCAGAAGCCGGTGCCATGACGAGCGTCTATTTGGCTACATCGGAAGACATCAAAGTGAGCGGACGCTATTTTTCCGATTGTAAACTGGCGATGGCGCCTTTTTGGGCTACACGGATGACAAAAGCTGCCAAACTCTGGAAAGTCTCGGAGAAAATGACCGGGCTCAATCAGGCCGCACCCTCTGGAGTGCTTAGCTATTAATTAATTCACAGGTGACGGTTTCACATGCATAAAAGCAATTTTTGAAAGATTAAAACAATGCAGACAGCTACCTTATTCTTTTGTGAGGGCAAGTAGAACATAGAGTGCTCCTGAATGGCGAAACTTGCTTGAAATTACTAGTAACGATGGTTGAATCTGTGTATAATAGACTTAAGTAGCCTTTTAATGTTACGGTCACGTAGATCTTGGGGTGGCTATAGGGCATACAATAAGAGTCCAAAATGTTTAGTATAAAAGAAACTCTTCGGCATTTCTTAATAGGCAATTTGCTAGCTTTGAGCTCAGCGAAGAGAATAATTATGTAAGGTTCTAACTTAATAGTTCAACCTTAGGCACCGTATCTACTTAATATCTATAGATGATGAGCCCATATGTATACTAATTTATATGCCCGTATACATTCATCATACCGGAACGATGATCATGACAGTTGCAACTGGTTGGTCGCCGCTTTCGAGCAAAACAATCCGTTCAAAATACATTCAGAACTTATTTTTTGCCGACTAATAATGGTAATCTAGGTGCTATTAGCGTAGGCACAGCATAAGGGGACGCGCGCATCCTAAACATCAGGCACATTCACCAACTGTGTGTCCTCGTAATCGTCGACGAAAGTGTCCTTGCACTATTTATTTTGAGTGCGATTTTGTAGTAGCGAAAGGATCGATGCATCGGATTGATATTAAGGTATATGAGCGTGTATGTCTGTCAAAAGTGAAACGCAGTAAATAAATAATTATATTAAAAGAAAAGAAAACTTATGTGTCGTGTTATACATGAGCGGAATATTTGGATATCTTCTTAACAAGTCTAGGCGGCAAGACGAGATTTACGGTGGACAAACGTTAAATTAATGATACGATGGTTAGCTTCGTATTTGTACCAACAAATTTTTCGCCATTAAATCGAAAAGCAGGTGTTGTTACAAAGAATATAAATCTTAAGAATCGAAAGGCGAAAGTCGCGTAGGCGGGTGGCCCATTACGCAAATTAGCCCATTTCAGTGACCTGCCGAAACCTGCGAAAAGCAGGCGTGCATTATGGAGTACCGAACGTAAAGTGCTGTATTTCATGTTATCTTTTTGGTCGGTCATTGCTTATCCGGTCTGTTGAGTCTGACAGGTAACAACTTTTATAAATGAAGAGACGCATACGACGCGCTATGCGATACTCACTTATGTTTTCAAAATAGCCGCGAGTCGACAGAATCCCTTCTCATCGTATATAAAAATTTTAAATTTACATTTAAAAAAATTATATATGCCTATTTTAGACGTAAATATACGAAATAACTCTTGTTTTGAATGATAATTTACATAGCATTTAACCATTGGAAGCAATCATATATAAGCCAGTGAATGAACTAATGGCACCAATACAGATATAAAGTTCTTTAAGCGTCCGCTAGCGATTGAATTTGGAAACTCGCACTCGACCTATTGATGGTTCCCATAGCCCATGTTAATGGTATCGAAGGCACGAACAAAACAACAGTATTTTCCTTTCTTCACTGTTTGGTTTTTGTGATTCTGTTAGCGTAACCTGACCCCCCCCTCCCCAAAAAAACAGATTTGGATCTTTAAGAAGAACGAGCTTTTCCACTGTATCGAGGTCAATTATGTACTCAAATTAAGCTCTTCCGTTCTGTCCTATGGCTCGGCCGAGTACGATTTTCATATTTCAAAAATTATCGGTGTAGTAAAATGATTTCTTGTTACCAGGACAGATATCGAACCATCTAGTAAATAAAACGACAGATTCAGTATGTATCCACAATAAATCCCTGATGCAACGAATTCCTACAGTCCCATATCGTGGGGTACTTTCTGAAATCCGAGAAAATATCTCCCTTTCTAAATATCCTAATCGTCTTAAATTTCGTATAAGAAGCTCAGATCAGTATTCAAGATTCACCGGCAGAAACTGTGAGTAATATTCTATGTTGTATAAATATTATATATATATATATTACTTGGACACTTATTGTGAAATGCTGCCTCCAATTGCACTGCTCGAAGTTTCGATTCTTCCGATCGTAATGAATTAACTAATTATTTTGATTAGAGGGATATTGCAGAAATATGAGGCACAGCTCTCTCCTGTCGTTCTGCTATAATTCGCCGTAACCAAAGTGGTCCTAACCAGGTCCATATTCAGGCATTAATCCACAGTCAGTCCAGCAGGTAACTGCCACAGCGACTTTCGAAACAAGGGCCGTAAGCACAGCAACAGTGTGGAGCATTTTGATGGCGAGGACTGTAGCGATATACACAACCATGGCGGCTCGAAATAGCGTTTGGTGACTATAGCCGAGGAACCAATCCGACACCGAAGCCACCATGCATGATATGCAAGAAACGACTGTAATCCACAAGTTTGTTCTTGTTGAATCATTCCAGAAGCATGTAAATACCGATTGGCCGCAATAAGATACGCTCCCATATTTTCTAGTTGGCGTAACGATTGATTCAGTTCTTGCTATTAAGAACGACCGTCTTAGATTGAAAATTACAAATGAAGTTACTTTCGTGACATTGGGGTTGTGACTCCTCGAAAATTCTTAGATAATTTATAATGGCCTATATAAAAGGTATATATAAAGTCGGACGAAATTGTGTATGGAGAGCAGTGTGTGGAAACGGCTATTTAACTATTTATCGGGTTCATTGTTTGTTCGGCCGTTGTTGTGAGACCGTCTAACGAAAATCTACTTCGGTAAACGGGCTTATTAATCTGTTTGACGGGAACTTCCACAAACACCACTCTCATGAGCGTAATGCATGCACTGTTCTTCCTTGTTCACGGTTTCTTTGCTTTGAAATGTTCGTCTTTATTTTTCGTTGGAGGTATGAACCCCAAACTCTGGTATTGAAACATCAGTCATTTTGTCTATACAGAGTATGGCCATGCATGAACTGATGAGATTAGATAGAACGTTCCACATGTTCGTGATAAGTACCACTAAATTCACCAATTCTTTATGGTTGACAAACAATCGTTAGGAGAATTACGAATAACTTCTAATTCCAGGATGGAAAGGGCGACGTAGCAACCTTAAGTAGAGGAGACAGTCTGCAAACAGAAAACGATCATGTTTATTGCTTTTACATGCTAAAGAAATATACGCATCGAGAGTTCTAAGTTAGATACATCGCTTTCAGCGCAATCCTTATTAGACCCTAAGCAAATCAATCCCGGTTTACCGCTTCGAGCCAAATTACACAGGCTTATCAGAATGAGTTGGATGTAAGCTGATAAATGTGAGAAAAGCAAATTGTCTTGGAATGGTTTTTGTGCAATGCAGAAAGTGTTCCTGCAAGCCAAAAAACTATAAACTCTGCTAACATATATTAACCTTTAAGAAAATAACAGAACCACGCTTTCAAGAAACTATACAGCTCGTGGCGCTGTTGGGGGTTTATAATTCAGAGTATTTTACGAACGATATCGAAAAATACAGTGAATAAGTAAGCAAAACATGTACACCTATTCGATTTTTACAATTTTCAAGTCGTTTAGAGCTGCAACAACCTTCTCTGCCATTTGCAACAATGTGACTCTCGACTCAACACCAAAGAATACAAATTAGATAAGGCTCTTTTTTTGAATCAGGTGTTCATTCATATTGCGGCGGCAATTTCTGACCATGAAGCTTCCTCGACTCACGACTTTTTCTGGCTGATGTCCCAGTAAAGAGTATCTTCTACTCTTACTGGAAGGCTTCACTTGAAAAATCATCGTTGTGTGCTGGAATTTAGAAGCAAAACCATTACGGACTATCTTATCTATCTTTATAGAATATATCACGTGTAATCTTGTGCCATGTATTTACCACTCATGACCGTCAATTACGAACCCCAGAAACCTGAACAGACTTTCTCGCTTTTCGTTACGTGTATCCATTAAAAAAAGGAAAATAGCACATAATACTTACGTCTGATAAATTGATTTCTTTCCACACCAACACAGTCGTTGAAGCTTTTTTTTTCTGTAAACGAAGCACCGCTGATATAATACGCGTCGTAGAATGCTGGCTGCTGACGAGGCATAGGCCTTCAACTAAAGCCTAGGAAGTTCACAAAAAATTGGGTGACATCAGAGACTCTTATATCGTTCAACGTTACGATGGTTTACAATACCTAAATTGTAACAAGCTCATATCAACAATAAGTTTACAGAATATTTACTATATATTTAACATAGAAGTGCTGCAAATATTATGAGAATGTGGTCGTTTTTTTAACTCAGTGTTCATTTCTCTAAAGGTGTGTATACCATTGAACGTACAGATGAGCTCATTGGAACGGGTAGGAGCTAATAATGCTGATAAAGTACTTAAGGAAAATCCGTATTTGTTTAAATAGCTATCGATGTAACCATCAGATGCTTATTGCGCAGATTTCGCCTTGATTCTGTAAAAGGCAACGATGTATGGTGGCTTCTATAATTTGAAGGAGTTTTCAGGCAAGGCGAGAATTAAAGTACTTCACCCCACGCAGTACATCGGTAGAATGGTCGATTCGTAGACGCTGCAAATATCACGGCAGTTGTATCTCGAAATGTGTGGTTATGACCTATCGGTCCATATTAACTTATGAGAGGCTGAGAAGTATGCTTATGTTGAGAGTACAAGGACCGCTGTTTTTAACCCGATTAGAGCTATGCTGTACCGGCCTTCTTATTTCTTGTCGTCTTTCAATCTGTCCTTAACTGAGCGTAACCAGAGAAAGCCTTTGCATTCTTCTTCATAAATGTCTGGAATGAGGTCCCCTGGGGCGTCGCCTAACTTGATCATTTTAACCGACGGTTCACGTGACGAGTGGACCTCTTTTTCAAAGGCGATCAGTTGCTGAAAAAATCCGTAATTTGGCCGTACAACGGAACGACGTTTGCGAACAAACATAAACGCGTCGTGAAGCGTCATGCCGTGATATTTAACCAGGTAAGCTAACACTATTGAACAACTGCGCGAAACACCGGCCAAGCAATGCACCGCAACCTTTCCTCCAGTCCGAATTTCCTCGTTGATGGAATCTGCTGCCGGATGGAAGTACTGCTTAATATCTTGGTTTGGCTCATCGGCAACCTCATAACGTTTGTATTTAATGCCCGGCACAATTTCATTAATTAAGTCATGTGTCACATTGATAACTAAGGTGATTCCATTTCTTTTCAAGTTATCCACGCTTAGACCACGGAGACCGCAAAGAAATAGGCTGTCCGTTATCTGTGACATGCTTGTAAAAACCCACATTGCCTGCTCAGTCAAACCTGCGGGTGATTTATCTTTAATTTGGGTCGAACAATGTCTGGAGCGTATCTTAGTAATCTCTTTTTTCGCTTGTCTTGCCCACTTGTCAATTCGTTTTCCCTTAGGTTTTTTCTCTGCTGCTTCGACTGTTCCGGTAGTCATATTCGTTTACCAAGCAACTATACATTTAGCTGCGTCGTTGGATATCCATAGTTGAAAAAAAATTTTGATACAATAGCCACCTAGTAACAAATACATACACTTCGTTGTTATCTGGGGGAGTAGAACTATTCGAGCAAGTAGTGACACAAAGTTTGAAGCATTGCTTAACGAGACGCAGATAACCGTCTATAATTGGTCTTCCGAGCTGTAAACAGTAGTACGAAGCCCGCCATATAAATACGTTACCCAGCCATTAACCTGTTTATATGGCACGTCTGTTTATCGTTTTGTACTGCATTAATCTTCAATGGCTTGCCCTTTACCAAAACAAAACCACGATCCATTGTACTACCTCAGATTTTAATGAATGATTGATTATAGGCTGATGTTGAATTATGTACGTACAGTCGTACCCGTTCTATCTGCAGGCGCACTAGGCTTAAATTTAGAAGACATCATTTTCCTAAAACACTCGCTTGCTCAACGCAGGCAAACTATATATTTATGTCTAACGCACGATCAATGTAAGGTATTGTATGTACTACCTCGGCATATTTATTAAATCATAACGAATAAAGAACATAAAATTTTACATAACATAATTATTGCAAATAGGTTAAACGTGGTAGTAATGGTGGCTTATGAGAAGAACCTTCTTTGTGAACTCTAATGGGCCTAAAAATGCACAAGCAGACAGCATTGGTACTATTACAAGAACTTTCAAGAACCGGATAAAATATTATGTTTGAAAGACGAAATCTCCGCCTTAACAATCAACGGAATTGTAACTGGAATCACTGGCTGATATCCAAAACCACAACGCTTTTGAAATATTTAGCCAGAAATGCTGTCACACCGTTATCAACTATTAGTGACAAAAGAAAAGACAGAAGAAGAAGAAAATGGTACGATATGGATTTATCACGGCCTTTAGTTCTCACGGCCAAAAGCACGCCCGAAAAGTTCCTGTTATGCAGTAAAGCATAAAGGATATACTCAAGACCCTGTAAAAAGTTCCAAGTATACATTTTATGTGGCTACACTTTTCGAGCAGAATATAACAACAAAATATAAAAGCTAGTAACGTTTCCCGCATCTATAATACAATGCAAAGGGCCCACAATATACATTTTTTTTAGTAGAAAAACCTTAGCAAATAAAAAAACACCTTTTACTCAAAAAAATGTACATATACACAACACAATTATTTATGAGCCGTTCTGTATACGTGACTGATTAATTGATATCCTTTGTCAGCCATTATTCGTTTATGGATTAAAAACCGGGCATGACTTGATAGAATGGAGGGCATAATTTAGACAAAAAAGGTATCAGTCCTTTTACCATATAGGTCGAAATGTGTATATAGTTCAATAAAAATTCATTTAGCAGGTAAGTCCAATAGAGGCAGATCTAAGAAAACAAACTTTAAGAAGGTATGTTATTAAATCTTTAACCCTCTTAATAGATGATTTCCTCCCTTTGCGGTTAAGCCCCAGACCATTTGTAGCAAATAGTCGCAGGAGTAATTTTTTCAATGACCGGCGCGAAATACATCTAGAGCACCTAGTATATTGTACTAAAGTACATTGTCCGTAATAAGCGACATGAACACTACCCGCAACTTCAAATTGTTCCTTTGCCTTTTACTGGCGATACCATACAAGGCTTGCTAATGGCAAGATAATTGAATAATCGTCTGTGATATACAGACTAAAGTCTGCAAATGCCCCGTGCAAACACGTGTCCAGCTATGAATCACAAGAACTATGATTACTACTCATGCTTTTTCCAACTGGCACATAATAGCTATATAGCCAGGAATAACCGTCAGTACCGAACGTAGCAAGACGGCCATAAAAATGTTTATATGCCCGTTGTAATAAGTGAATGTCCATTTTCTTCTGGAAAATGTAGTGTGTTTTTACGAAAACTAAATAGGCGGACTAAGGGCTGCCAGTTTTTTTGCTATATTCACTACTTTTCGTTTTGTTTCTGAAATTTTTGTCCTGATTCTATTCGGCCAGTATTTAATAAGGCAATATGTCACTATGGATCAAACTAGCTAGTACGCTAGCTGTGACGTCCGGCATTCATGCAGTGTACGCGCCCGTCGTTTTTCAGTTCTATCTCGTTACATGGACGTCAGTTTAGATTAGTCAGGAAAGACGGAGACGGACGAACTTCTGGCTAATAATACCAGAACTTGCCTCTTGCGCTTCCCGGGTTTGGCGACGTTTCAACAGGACAGTTATCGTTAGTATAAAAACATGGCCATTCCCTGATTTTAGCGAACTGGAAACAGATAACTAACAAACCAGCAAAATGATTGCTGTAGGTTACCCTCGAGTGCTCTACTAATAACATTAGACCGCTTCAAAGATAGACCCGATCGATTTGTCTAACTTACCCATGAAGATAACTTCGAGTCACATATATTGCTATAGTTTAATAATGAGCCTTTAAAGTGGGTATTTTTCTCAAGCGTATGTTTAGAGTATCTGACTCACAAAGTTCTCTGATTTTTTTTCCCTCAATCCAAATGATCACCTCTCTTATGTATCATCTCAAAAACAATTCTGTAAGTTTTCGCTCACAGAAAAATTCGAATTTTTCCCGTCGCCAATGTCTTGTTCAGCTTTTCGTCCTCGCCGCCATCGTCGCCTCAACTCAAGCCGGTGTCATTGGCCACGGTAGCCTCGGACTCGGTTATGGTGGAATCGGACTTGGTCTTGCCCACGGTGGAATCGTTGCCGCTTCACCTGTTGTCACTGCCCCTGCCATTGCTTCTCCCGTCATTGCCACTTCGGCTGTGACTACCCGCGCTGATGCCTACACTCCTCTGGTTGCCAAGACCATCGCTCCCGTTGGGCTCGCTAGCGTCGGTGTTGCCGCTGCTCCTATAGGCCTCGGCATTGGACTCGGCCACAAATGGTAACAGTCTCCAATGATTATATATCGCCAAAGATCTGAAATAAATAACGATCACGTTTTATTAATTGAAAACGAACGCATGTCCCATTTATTGTGAAGTTTTTTCCATGCTTTAATATTATAAATCTCTGCCGAAATGGATTTCATCAGTACAATTCTATCATGTTTATTTTTACACAAATCAAGTCAATAAAAAAAAGTTAACACTTACCTGAAATAGGCAAGGGCTGTTGATTTGCATATTTAGAAACAATGACGGAAAAGCAGTCGCGATGAAAATAAAATTAATGTAAAAATGCTCTATATTTTTTTAATACTTTAGCTTCTATTTGTTATACGTAAATCATTATCTTATATTTATTCCCAAGACTTATCTTCAACTGTTTTATGCAACAAAATGCAACAAATGCATGGTCCGCTTTTACTCTTGTTGTTGTCACCGTTTTTTAGCTTGATTATATCTTTCGTGTATAAATACACCGAAGGGATCAAGGAAATTAGTGCATCTACATATAACGTTTTATAAACTCCACAAACCATTGACAACAGACATAAAGAATAAAAAAAATCTATTTGACTGTACTTAACCCTTGAGCATAAAAAAAAAGCTGTATTCTGGTGTAGAAAACCCATTTGTACAGCTATGTGAGCCTATTTAACGCTCCATGATTATTAAACAGAGCGATTCTTAAAAATAGGATTAGGTAACTATTTGTAGAAATTCCAGCGTCTGGTAGTCACCAAACGTCAAAAGAAGTTTTTTAGTTCCATAAGTTTCCATTTCTAACCTTTAAACCCATTTCACACTAACAAAGTCCCAACGAAGCTTAGATATAGTATTTGGGAGTACATTTAACGGCAAAAAAGACTATAATTGTTTATTATTGTTTTGTTATCGCTTGCATACCCATTACGTATTGCATGTTGAAACCTAAAGTGACCTAAAGACGGTCAATGTCTTCAACAAAATTTCAGCATCAAAATTTTTGGGTATTTGATCGGATTGATCGAAATCATCACTTTGTATCATGCCAGACCCGGTGGATTAGGGTCAAAATATCGCAACGGCATTTCTGAAAACATCAAAATGAACAAAATGTTAATTTTTACCCATTTTTCATATATTAGTTCATTTTTTTGTTTCAAGTTTTTTTTATGCAGAAGAGACTTCTATCAACAGCATGAACTCAATGTCACTTAAAAATTGCTAGGATGTAACGGACCAAGTTCAATTACATATTACGCTAGCGATTTAATATGGTTTCAGACGGTACGACTTGAATATAGTTTCAACCATGCATGACGACCATGCACTATGTTTGTTTAGATGTTCTTTCTTTTAATTTAGATATAGATTTTTTTTTGTTTGTATAATGTACTTTGCAAAAATATTCATAAATCCTTCCTAAGTAACTAACCAATGAAAATGAACACTCCATTATTTTTTTAAGAAGTTAATTTATTTTCAGTACCCTTTAAAACGCTCCTAGTATCCATTTATTAATTAACAAGTATTCTTAGATGTCATGCTATACACGGAACTTCTCATATACCCACGTAGCACTTCTTATGCTTATAACCGCCACCACTATCGATTTTTCTGATTTCGCAGAAAATCTAGCAGGAAATCATTGCGGTGACCCAACGGCAAACTGTAATCAATAAATCGGCGATAGAAATTATAGAGGTAAAGCAGATCTTTTTGTTTGTCTTTATAATTGCACATATAAGCGTATCCGCTGTTCTAGCTCGCAAAAACTAATTAAATACATGCAGTTCCTCTCGTAAAATCGATGCAGTATTAAATATAAATCACCTACAATTGATAAGAAGTAACTGAACACGTAGTCAGCGGAGCAGTGTATTTAAAATTATGCTTTGTTTTCAAATATGCTTATATTATACAATTAGCCTATAAATGAATACGCAAAGTCTAATTAATAGAACTATATACTTTGAACACAGATCATGAGACATGAAAGTACAATAAATAGTAAGCGGCTGGCGAACAGCAGCTAAGATCTTTTCGTTTTCAACGAAACTTAGTCGAGAAACAACTAAAATAACTTCAATCCTGACCGCGTCGTTGTATACAATATGTAAGTACCATATTCATTGATTTAGCCTAAACAGTGGAGCAGGACAGGAACTGTTTAGATCTAGAAACTAACATCAAACGCGTTAGTCGGAGAAGAACGGGTCGTCTTTTGCCTTCTGCGCTTCGACTGTGTCGAGGGCCGCCTTTGCATCTTCGATGTCTTTTCGGATTGCTGCGATTAACTCGTCGACAGAGTTGTAGTCCTTCTCGCCTCTTAAGTACCCTAAGAAAACAACTTTGAGCGTCGCCCCATAAAAATTTTTAGGAAACTTGTGAATGAGGTGCACCTCGACAGAGAGAGATTCGTTCCTGAAAAATGGACACGTTCCAACGGAAGCAGCCATTTTGAACAGCTGACCCGTACCTTCAACGGTAGACGATCCTGGCATTAATTTTGCCCACCCGTAATAAATGCCATATTTGAAGTCTTTAGGTAGATCTCGAGCTACAGAAATTTCATCAATGTTTGCCGTTGGGCATCCGAGACCACTAGCGCCTCTTCCACGTCCATGGATTACAGTCCCAGTTAGATATACGGGTTTCATTGCTGGGTTAGCACTTGATCTTGTTGAGTTGGCGCTGGATAAATGTTTAACTGCTATACAGGATGTCAAAAAATTATAAGAGTAACGAGCAATTGCCGTTCTGACAGTTAATGATAGTGGTAATATTATTCCAGGTCGATGGTCATGCAAAACGCGGCAAACTCTTAGAACTGAAACAGACAGTGAAAACTATTAGCTTCACAGCGGTATAATAATGATGTGTCACTGACACAAAGCGCAATCTTGTGTACTACTGATTAAGTCAACAAAGATAAGTCTTGAGTTTGAGATGTAATATGGAGGGCGAATTCCCAAATGAATCGCACGGCGCTGTTTTCAAGACACAATAATACGAATACAAGCATCGCAGAAACGTAACATAATTTATTATAGGTCTATAGCATTATTATAGCTGCCACTAATGAAGGCTGACCTGTGTTAAGGAAAACGGCTATATTACAAAACGATTTTATCGCTTTTGTAACATAGCCGCAGTGATTTTGCTTAACACACGTAACTTTTGAGTCCACAAGAAATATGACTGTTTGCAACGTAGTTTGCATAGATTTCGATGCTTTCAATGCCCTATGAGGATGAAGGAAAACAACATAATTGCACGTATGAATTAGCCATTACGTACACCCATCAGTCAATGAAGCGCGCACTCTATTTAGTTGTATGGTAATTGGTTCTCGTAAGAATAAGATCTTCACACGTATTTTGACTACTATTCGGATCGCTGTTATTGTTTTGGTAATTGTTTGCGAACCATGTACTCTGTTATCATTCGCTCATCTGTAAAGTTCGTTATGTTATACCTACCGAAAGTAAACATTATAACGACACAGCGCTCGCAGGAAGTCGCAGTTTACCACTACCTTTCTCCGTGAGCACTCTTCTACGTGACCGCTGAATTGAGACACAGACACACGGTTATGATTTCACATGTAAACAAATAATACCGCCACTGCGGTCTGTCTGCTCGGCCAGACGGAAGAGGGCAAGTAAGGAGGCCACCAAAGCTCGAACTGGCAGAGAAGCGTCCCGATGTGTAAAACGAATGCTCAGAGTTAGCAACGGACTGTGCAAATGTAGAAAGTAATTGTTTCCTTCAGAATTATAATTCATTGTTATGCCGAAGACCTTAAGATTTAGCAAGATAAAACTTAGTCATACTCTCTCACAATTGTCGGGTGTATTGAACAGTGTTGACATGTGAAATGCAGCCGCCTGTTGAAATTAAACTTCTGTTTGTTGATCTGCAAAAAGCACTGAGCAGCGCGTAGTCTGAATCTAAAAAGAAAGTGGCTTTCAGCTACTCGACTATCACTCGCAACTGAATTGATGCCGGATACGAATTGAAAATTGCCAGACCTCCTCGGTGGAACGAGAGGACATGTGAGAACCTATATCGAGACGATAGGCCAACTAAGCGTGACATAGGCTTGCCCTGACGCTAACAGAACTTCGAGTTTTCGCGCGCTAGTTTGAAGTTACATACGATTAGTATGTGGATACGTATTTCTCAGAAGATTAGGCTAGAGCGAAGTTGACGGCGAAAAGTGTCGAAAATCATGTTTAGAAGTCAAATAATAGTAAATATTGATTATAAAAGCGGCTAAGGAAGCCGACTTATAAGATGGGCTATCTAACGCGATAACGTGTGATAACTGTTGAGGGAGTTACAAGTAAAGCACAATGGAGAACATATGAAAGGCAGAAAGACGCTTACAATAAAGCACATTAGTATAATGAAAGCTAACGTTGCATACATACGTGTCTGTTGACAAAGTGGTAAATAAGAGAAACGTGTGGTTGCGAAGTTTTTGAATACGGTGATTATCTTCGAGCTTATGATATATACAAATGCTAAAAAAAAAAAAAATTAACTGTAGTTAATTCATTCAAGGATTCATTTTCTAATCGGTGAAATGATTTCTAGAATAGAATTATCTCTATGTAAACTGACTTTCGGAACTTGCAACTGATTTGTTCCTTCTGCTGAATATATGAATGGCTTCAATTCCAAACCAGCAATGTTATCTAGACGAGGACGTATAACTTATTCTATATTTGGTTATATAGCGTTGTACAGAACGAATCGCCTCTATCTAAAATGTTATCGCTGAAATGAGAGCAATAATCCTACAGTTAGGTAGATAACTTTTTACTTGAAGATTTTCCTTATGTGGGCCAGTTTTTGCAAAGACTTGTAGGGATAATTTGTGACTCTTCTCAGTAAGTCGTGCAGCCGTTTGCGATGAGACGCGACCTTCTATTATCGCTCATTTTAGTTGCGATCGTTCCCATAAGAGTCGGGGCATCGAAATCGGCGACTTCAAAAAATGATGACGATATTTGGTGCCAAAATCCACACGGCAAAAATGTGGAGTGGTAAGTAGTAGGTAAGTGGAGTAACATATATATACATATATATGTAATTAATAAACGTATGCTATGAAGCAGGTAAATTCGTATTACTTTTGCAAAGTAAATCACATGCTCGTCTGTTTTCAGGTTTATCATGTACAAGGCTCCGAAGACGGCTAGCACAAACAGAAGTATGCAGCGCTACGAACTTCGTGGGTCAGAATACGGATATTTTGACTCGGAAAATCCCGCCGATTCGCAGGTTGATTCAAGCAAAGCAACACTTTTTTTTAACAACTTAATATATGACTGATTTTAACCGAATATGCAAATAATGAACACTTAATGAAAAAATGCTGTGGTATTATAAAAGGCTAATTAGACTAGTCTACTGACAAAAATGCGCATTCGCAGGCATTTTTAGATGGAGGAAATAACATCTATTTGGATCGAAATAATTCGCTGGCTAACACGCTCAGAAGGATTTTCAGACAAAATTCTAGCGACAATGCGGTACGTACACATTTGCGAAATGGACACCGTCGACTCAAAGATATACATGTCAATTGGGGTTTATAACGACATTCATTGAAATTTGTAGGTAATGAAACATATACATTTATTCTGCATTAAACAGTTCCACTACTACCAGAATGCAATTATAAAACGTATAATATATTTGCATGTCCTATTGTCTTAGTAAAATGCGTCACTATCTCATTAATCCATAGTAACGTAGCTCAACCTGTACGTAAGTTAGTACAGAAATTACAATAATTCGTAAATCACTCTCACTGGGAATCGACTCTAAGAAATCAAGGTCTAGTAGCCCAACTTTGTAATCCTATTAAGCCAATATAAGCATGACATTACAAAGTGTTGTTTATCATTTGTTACTACAGGAATTAGTGTACATTGTGTACAACGATCAGCCCCCTCCAGGTATGAGTAACTCAACTTCAAACGGTCATACCAAAGGAGTTGTTATTTTTGGAGCACGTACTGGACTCTGGATCGTTCATAGCGTTCCCCGATTTCCTGATAAACTCTTCACTGGAAAGTTTGTATACATTTGTTTGTATACATACATTATTTCAAATATCACATTCGTTTTTGTTAATGTACATAGTAGTACATGATCTGTGCGCATACAAATGTAAAGACGCGTAAGGGACCAGTTTGTATTTAAAATATATAGCTAACATATTTTGACCGTTACTAGGTAAAGTAAAAATGCTGGGATAAAATGTTTGACGGAATATTCCAGGAGCCTCTCTTAGAATAATTAATATATTAAATTAAAGAATGATTAATGCCCTGTGAAGTTTTCCAGTGATTAGTTCTGCTTTGTTCGTTTTATATTTTTTCAGGTATTCATTTCCAAATAGTGCTCGTGAAAATGGCCAGACCATTATCTGTACTACATTTAACATCGATAAGTTAAACACAATTGGTAAGACATGTGTCACTATGGCCTCTTTCCAAGTACTTTATTTATATTATTATTAATCTAGGCCTATTTACTTTTTCACTGTACGGATAACTTTGCCTTTAGTTCCAGCTTTACAGCTGTCTATAAACTCTGTTCACTGTCATATATTTTTACATTAGAGCTAGTTACTCAGCTGTACGACACTCTACCCTTCGATTGTTGCATGGTTACATAGAGTAACTGAATGGTATTCTCTAACGACGTACACGCAACCCGTCAACCGTTAGCATTATGCCCATTTGTGTATCTGCGTTCAGGAGAACTTCTGGACTCACCAAGTGCACTTGCCTTTATTAATAAGGGGTAAAAACAGTTTGGGTACCTTTACGAAATATTTAACCGTTGCTAAGGGTAGTCACTCGCGCATAAGCCGTAGCATAGAGTGGTAGGATACCAAAACCGATAAATAATAACCAAGCCTTCTACATAGTTATTTCGATTTGAATCGGTTGCAATGCACTTTGCTTCCACTTGCAACAAAAACTCGTCCCAGATTTAACATTTACTCTCCCTGATGATTAAGCGTTTCATACCAGGCCCCCTGCTGTACAGTAATCATTTACTAAACTGCGGTTTGTTTCAAACAATGTCAATTGCACATTCAGTTTTTAGATTATAAAACGCTTTCGCCATACAGTTTCTAATAGCCTACGTCGTAGTTTAATTGATGAGACATACTTTCTTACGTATTAACTTGTAGAACATAGCCTTGTTGAAAAGTTGCTTAGTTTAGGTTTACGCTTAGTAATACTATACCCACTTAGGATTGTAAAATACAAGCTCTGCTTTTGTATAGCTTTGTCTAATAAGCATTATATGCCTAATTGTTATGATTATCTTATACAAATAAAACTGATATAAAAGGGTCGTTTCTGAAACAGCTACTCATGTCATCCCCAACTACTCAGTAGATCATTTACACGAAACAGTTTAAGATAATATGTTTACCATTCGCTATGAATATATTTAGCTGCGCATCTTCGTAAGCAGAATCCCACTATGTATGCAGCAAGTGCTCCGGCCGCGCTTCGTTCTAAGTACAAGGAGCTCGATTTGCTTTTTAACAAGACTTTCAACCCTGAAGAGCCCTTTGTCGCCATAGACGTATTGCAAGCTATCAATGGCACTGCCTTCACAGCTTTCGCAAAAAATGGACGTCTTAATAAAGGTGAGATGTTGAAATTTGTAAATAATGATTGTATAAGCTGTAGGAAACTCAAGTGATTCAGATGACTTAAATGGCTCACCTGACGCTGGCCTTAATTATAGTCTGTTTTAAATTGTACCAAAAAAAATTTGGCGGTATATACTGTGTCTAAACGCATGTAAAATCAGATCTAAAAAGCGCTGCATGTAATCAGCATCCGGGCTCTTATTACTTGGATATATAATGCTTAGCGTAAACCGTTAATTTTTTATAATATAGCTAATCGTTTAATTCACCTTTCTAATGCAAGTTTACTGAGTCTTTCCCCACGACACGTTTTTGCTGTTTGGTTTGATCAAGACAGATATTTACTCGGGGGTACTGGCACCAACCCTGGAAACAAACCTCTTTGTAGAATCGTGGCAAAATGGAAACGGAGGTAAGCTTTTCCCAGATCTTTTAGATAAATACAAGGTGGTCGACGTCAAGGAGATTGCCCTCAGAGTAGGTCAGAAGGTTATGCGCTGGAACAGTCACGAAGACCACTCAAAGTGGGCAATCGGTAATGAGACAGACTGGGTTTGCATCGGATCCATCAATCGCATGGTGAGCCAGCTTTTGTAGTGATTGTACACGTCATTGAAAGTTTTTCTCCAACTGACAGCTTCATGCTAACAGCAATAACAAACGGCCTTGTAGAATAAAATATATGCTAAGTAACATTATTGTATAGATAGCAGCGGCCAACTTTCCAGTGAAATGCCACAGTGTGGACATCTAGTCGCTTCGCGGTTTCTTTTACTATACCTCTTATCAAAAATATTGGTTAGACTGGTTTTCGTTGCTAATATAATCATCTTTCTACCTTGATCTATACATCTAGAAATCTCAATTTAAACGCGGTGGTGAGACGTTATGTTTGCAACACAGCGTTGTTCATGGGCTGTTCGCAAAGGCGATGGTGAAGCACGCGTCTTATAGCATCGACAAAATAAGAACTTGCGGACGAGTTCTCTGAGTGTCTGCTCCACAATGAAGCTGATGCCAACTCAAAGAAGTCAGATGAGCCAAGTGGGTTGATTTCGCCGTCGAGTAGTCGAAAACAACAAGAGAGCTCCAGCAAACTGTGGGGGAAGCAAAAGAAAAAGCTTCTAACGGAAATAGAGGGAACTCTAGCAGTGCTTGTATAACTGATAAACCCGGCAGGCATCGGTTCCACAGCAGATTTTTGTGCTGTTACAATCTACTTAACCCATGGACGACCGTTTAGCTTCACAAAAACTCTGAGTTCTATGTATAGTACGGACGCTGACTCGTCTATTTTCACAATAGGTGCATTGCCAAATATTCTCAAATTGCGCAGCGAATGTTTAAGTAGTCGTATTAAGATAATGTGCGGTATATTTGAATACCTGTTAAAAGTGGCGATTAATATCTTTGAAATAAAAGAAACCATTGTTCTTCAAATGAAGCTCGAACCAGCCATTTCTTAAATACAAAATCTTGTTAGCGACTGGGAATGACTAGTAAAAAGCATATGTTTCACTTTAAAAGACTTAAGTGTAAAAACATTTAATTATACCAAGAAGGAAAAGTAAAGGTAAATAAAGTGACTACACCTAAAAGCAGATTTGGAATCTGCTGGTAAAACATCACATGATGGTTATAAGAATACTACTTTAAAACTTGTCCAGTTAAATGTTTTTTTATGAACTACGGGATTGAAAATACTTGATTTCATTAATGAATCCATTTAAACCGGCAGAACGATAGTATCGTTGGCTGTCTCTGTCAATGTTCATGAAAAAAAACTTCGAAGTGTGTTCAATTCGATCATTTAATAAAATGACATTTATCGTAAACTTAGTTTCCGTTCCTAACAATAACTGTGAATAAAGATTAACTAAAATATATGTATTTTACTCAGCTAAGGTTTTTTAAAGGCAAAGATTTATTTAATTGGAGTAATCTTTTTAACAAATGGGGCCTCCCAAATAATGAACACTCATGCATTGTTTGTTATGTTACATAACATAACAGGATCCTTTGAAAAACAAGTGTCAAAGGCCGTTTTTGGTGACTTTTGTTTTTTTCAATGAATTTAACAAAAATCTAGAATACGGTGTTACGCGAAGCAGCACCGGTGTTGTTACACGCATAGCCAGTCGATAGATGTCAATTCATCGAGTGCATTTTGTGTCCATAAATCGGTGCCAAATTTTGTACTTCTTGCATTTTACTCAATAATTCTGCTCCATTTTAAGGTCCTCGTGCTAACCATTTAGAGCGACTTTTTTGAAATAACTTTTCAAAGTGTTATGTTCGATGACAAACTCTTGTGGGCCATAACCTCTCAAGAATAGCGTCGTGTCCTAGTAGAACTATCGTTGCCATATGTTTTCAAAGGGCAGTTTCCATTAGTGGAACAACTGAATTGCGAACTTGGGCGCTTTTACTTTTTGCGAACACCACGATCATACCTAAAGAACAATGAAGACCTTGCCTTTAACCATAGAATTGATCTAACAGTGCAAGGACAAGGTTGTTGGAAATAAACAATATTCATATCTGGAGACGTAACCATTCGTGTTCCCCATTATAGTGCGTAGAAGGTACTTCCTTAAAACGTTCGCACAAGCTAAGGCAAATTGAAACCCGAACGGTCTGGCCAAGCAATCTGGGTAGCAAATAAAATCGTAACACGTTTTCCCATGTCATCGAATATAACCATAAGAATTATTCTCAGATTATGGACATAATAATTTATTTAACACCATTTAAATAAATTTCGTGTTCGTTTACCATCCTTGCACTCCGGCGAGACTAAGGCCGAGTTTAACGTTTCCATAGGCGGTCATAGGCCCGGCAGCAAAAGCTGGGGCGGTAACAACTTTAGCAACCTTGACGGGGGCGAGGGCCTTACCAATGAGAAGAGGGTGTGAGTCAGCACGGGTGGTCACTGCCAAGGTGACAATGAGGGAGGCGGCGACGGCGACCAACTCAGCAAAAGCCTAGCAGCCACAACACCGGGAGTTGCAGCGATGATGCCACTGTGCACAATACCGTCGCGTCTGAGACCAGCTCCTGTTGAAGACCGAGAATACCGTATCTGGCAAGACCAGACAGGGTCGATACGATAAGGATGTCAATAGTAAACAGCGGCAACAGCATCAAAGAAAGAATTTTATTAAATATATTGTGATTATCAACGGATGTGCTTCTGGCGTTTAGGACAAGTTAAAGCTTATCGTATTCGATTCTGCGTATATTGTTTGCCATGAACACGATGGCTGTTTCAACAGCTGTTTGCTATCTGACGTCCCTACAAGTTCACACTGGTAGGATTCATATTGGACTAAACGTTGACTCGTTTTTAATGTTTTGCAAGTTTTATTTCCTCAAAGTACAAAAAAACGTAAGTGAAGTTTAGAACAAGATGGTAAAATGATAGGAGGTTGCTAGCCAAATTAAGCCCATTAGAGTGAATCAGCTGATTAAGTCGAATAACCGAGTGAAAAGAAGCTTAAAATACCAGTCCAATGACTGCTTGAGTAAAACAAGCCATTTACTATTTACAAATATGTGGACGTAGACTAAGTGAAGATGCTCACCATCCAGCTCAAGATCCAAAATGATAACAAAAAATAATAGTAGTAATAATAAAAGTACCAAAGAACAGTCTTAGAGAAGTGATATTAATTATACACTGTAATTATGAATTAATTTTATAACCAGCCTTTCCCAGTTAGCTATCATGTTTTTATGATTCATTGAAAAGCTCAGAGCATCACCTTTACACGAAATACCTCGCTTATCGATTGATATTCCATTAAAAGCCAATAAAAGGCATACGTCACTTTATTTAGTATTTTTTTTAAAATTGTTCGAACATTGGCCGCAGACGAATTGTGCCACTAGACGATGTAATCAGCTCATAACTCGAATGTCGAGTGCTTTGAAACAATCTAATGGTCAGCGCGGCTTCTAAGATGTTGTGTGCACTATTAGTACTAAAGAGGGCAAAAACAATTTTGCACCCATTTACGCCGTCAGTATGTAATAATCTGCTTTTGTAAAAGGTGCACAAAGAGTCCTTTCTGATAAATGTACGCTGAGGTCAGTAGTGGTTTAGTAGCTCGATCATAATGAATATCTCATGTATCCTAACTGCATTCGATTATTCGTTTTACATGAGTTAGATCTATAGGCACTTTGATATAACATACTTTGATTAAGCTGTTTATCTCTGGCTTTTACATTACCGAAAATTGCCACTATTTCATAGTATATGTATGTTAAAAAAAAGTGAATGGAGAGATAGACATACCTCAGCATCTGGTGGGTCAGATTACTTAGGTTTCTTGCGAGTGTAGAGTAACTATTTGCCATGATAGGAATATGAGATGAGTACAATATGAATACAATACAATGTTACAATACGGACGTGTCGGTTCGCGAGTGTCAGCCATTTTATTGCAGTCCGAAACAACTAATGAAAAAGGTATATGCTGCTCACTTTTAGCGACATGTGGTGTTTGTTTTATGTGTATGTTACTTAAGCTGAGTGATTGTTATTGTGTATTTTTCAAAAAAAAAATTTTTGGCGAGCTTAAAACTTCTTATGTGCATATATATATATATACATAAACTTATGATTGCATCGCGACAAAGGAACTATGGCGTCTAACGTTAAAATCTAAAACCTCGTTTATATGATTTCGTTTAGACGATATGAATGTATCAGATAAATTATTGGCCACATTTCAATATTTATAGAAAACCCAGTACTTATACGAAGTGTACTAACAAACACACACACACACATAGAATGATATCGAAGGCGGGGTGGGCAAAGCAACAGAAAAGCTCTACTGTTCACACCTATAGAAATGTTTATAACTTGTGTGGCTTTGATATTTGCCTATATATATATATATATATATATATATATATACACAGAACACATTGAATAATATGTGTGCATTTGTACAAAGTGTTTAAAAACTCGAAATTAATTTTTGAAGAATTAATAGGAAAACTCAGTAAGGAACGTAGTTTTCATTAACAGGGCAATGGAATCCAAGAGTCCCTGGAAATTAAAAATCATGGAAACGAATGGTTTAGGAGATATAATTTCGGAAAATATAATTCTTTCAAAAAGATGGCTGCTTCTAACGGAAAAGTGAAAATGGAATATCTCCACATTTTAAATCAATTCAATCAAACAAAAAAACAATTAATAATAACAAGTTATGCTTTCAATGTTTGATTTTTTCATTTTAAAATTTAAATACTTCAAATGAACTCATTATGATTAAAGGCTTGTGGAGAAAAGTTTGGCATGGATCGTAATCTCGAAAGATACCGCATATATTGGTCTCATAATTTAAACTGTCGTACGACTTACTGTTATCCCAACTACATGGTTTCGCTATTTCATTTTGAAGCTAAAAAATCAAATATAATGAAATGAAATTTCTCATTATTTGATTTATTACTACTGTTCTGTATTTTTACGAGCAGACTTTTAGCCACAAACGTGTGTTTTCATTTTCTCAATCGAGACAGCATTTTCCATAAACTAACGTATTTACCGAAATGATAGTCTAGCTCGTCATTTTTTAGGAAGAGTTTACACTCTTTTCTATCATTAGGATGAGTAGCTGCAGCCGCTAGTCCCATAGGGAGAAACTCCTTGTACTTATGAGGCTCATTACTTTTTTAAGGCTAAACGGAACGAGGCAGTCATAACTATAACACTCAAAGCGGTTGTCGAGAGGAAGTTCCTCTCGCAGTTAAATTCTGAGGCCTTGGTAGCGACTGTGTGTGGCAAAAGTGTGGCCACAGCTTGAGACGTTGGTCGATGCAGCTACTGGTTGATTTTAGGTAACAGAGATTAACTCGCGATTGGTTAGCGACACATGGGGTTCTTATCAATGGAGATACAATGCAAAGCTTGCGACCACGGGAAACATGCTTTACTAGCACACGTTTGCATCGTGCGGATTTGCAGTGGATCGTATCGATCTGCCACCGACCGTGGCTACTTACCTCTGCCCGTATGCATTGGCAAGATAAAACCTAATTTTTTGATAGGCAAAATCAAGCACAGTACATCGCGAATCCTTCGATTAGCTTCACAATGAAACAATTTCGCTGTAGCTAATATGCTGCTGACCTAGTATGTGTGGTCACCAAAAAGATGACCCAGTTTCTATATGTCGCTGTTTGAGTACATCTAAATAACAACGATGATTAAAAGCGTGTGAAATTTACTAGTTAGACTTTAACTACGGTATACGACAGAGTAACAAGGGCGAGTCATGATTAGTGGACAAGTGACGTTTCTGAATTTCTGAAATATATTACACTGTACCACGCCGACGTTCAGACATAGTCCTTGAAGGACACAGATTCTGACTAGGTTTTTCTGCCGCTATTTCAACTAAGTGGACTACTACTGATGCTGATAGGCGGTACCCGCTTAGCGTCCTGGCCGAACGCCAATGAGATATTTGTCTCCCCACGCGCATTTTGTTGTCGCAGTGAATTGCCAAAGCAAACCGGCCTGAATTCATTCCAACACGTATGGATTTTTTGAGCAAATGCGGTGCTAGCGATGCTCTAATGGTTACAGCATCGTATTCTATATGTTGACAATACTTTTTATACCCTGTAATAAATAAATACGCAATATAACGCAACAAGCGCTATAAAACAATAATAAGTAGCTCATTGGCGACAGAGCATGCGACAGTTGAAAGCTGCTGTTACATGTTTGGCGCTAACAAGAAATGGAAACAAATAATTCGAAGAAGAATTGACAAAAATTGAACAGGCAAACAACCCAGCACTCATGAGATCAACTGTAGTCTTGACACACGATTTCCTCAACAGTTATAACTACTTCTTATTTAACGAGGTTTATTTTCTTTCGCAATTACGCACGAGCAGAGCTGATCTAACCATTCGAATAGCCATATTATTTAAAAGCAGCTGAGATTATACTGGAGGATGGTATTGGTTTCTGGAATCCTTAACGAATAAAAATCGTCATTTGAGTGGTCAGATCCATATACGCTTTTATAGTGATTATCTGGTAGCATTATGAGGTACTGGCAATGGAAACAGCAGTAGTAGACCAAATATAGCTACTGTAATCCATGTCGTATTTCTATCCCTGGGCTGTGCTTCAGATAACATAGCTATCCAGTGGTGGATTACTTGCATATTTCATTATATGTATTATAATTATATTAATATTTAATTAAAAAACACGAATTTAATATTATAGCATATTTTTGTAGACCATCATTCTGATTAAATAAAAATTGTTGGTTTACAATTAACGTGAAGAAAAACGTTTTTGGAATAGTTTGTAGACAGTATCGTTAAAAAATTGTTTCGAGTGGGCACAGGTATTATATAATGTCGTCCGACATTTTAGCTCGAGAAGTACTTTTAGCAAGTACACATATTAAACATCTAATAAATACATCGCTTCAGATAGAGAACAGATAAGTAATTAATACCCAGACCTTGTTTGGCAGCAGAGGTATCCATTAGATTTAATTCTCGACGTTAACACAGTAGCCGTTTTTCAAATTGGCACCCTAGGACCATTGTTGCAAAGGTAACCCTCGCTTTCTTATCATCATATGAAATCTCGACAAAACACAGCGGGAAGCAGGATCAGAGGAAGTCTAGAATCTGATCTTCGATCCATTTGACATATAGGCAACTGTTATAAATTTTTACTAGCACGTAGTCGTAATTATATCATAATAATCATGGAAAACTTTTGTATCAAAGATGTCATGCTTGTATTTTCCTTTTATATACAGAAGTTCGCTACGATTCGCTTGAGTGACTGACGGATTGTCTAGGCGAGACCGGGGTTGATTTAGGACTGT